TTTGTTGTGTTGCTGAGTTCCAGAGAATAAATAAAAAAACAAAGAGGAGGAGAAGAAGGAAGAGCGAGGAAGAGATAGAGAGAGAGAGAGCGCGAGAGAGAATGACAGTACTGTCAAGCGCTCCCGTAACATTCGGCTTGTTTTCTAGTGGAGTAACAAGAGCGGAAAAAATAAAACAGCTTGACAAGTCTCTGTTCCAGACCAAACTAAAAAGAGATGCAAACAATAACCGCGGTAAACAAGTCAAGCTGTAGCGATCCCGGCTGTAGCGGGACGGGTCCGTATCGACGGTGTGCTGGCAGAAGAGGTAAGCTTTTCAACATCGCTGGGGAGAAAATGACTGATGGAGATTCTTTACGCTCCAATTAGAAGTTCTGCAAGGGCTCTCCCACGTTCTTTTCCCACATCCTTTCTTTCTGTCATCCGCATACAGCAGAAGCTCTGGCGAGTCCTTCTTTTCTTCTTCTGAACTCCGTCTCAACAGACCTCACAGGTAAGCTAGCATGCATTAATAAGACAAGCTTGTAGCGCCTACTTGACCTTCCCATGTTTCCTCATTCCTCCTTTTGAACCTTTAATCAATTCAGGTCAGAGCAATTTCTCTTTTTTTCCATAGAAACTTTAGAAGCAAGTCCAGGGGGAGTGATGGAGGCAACAAGAGCAAATTGGGGTTAAGTGCATCGCCCAAGGGCACCACCACACTACAATCAACCGCTGAATTATTTTCCTCCTGTCTAGCCTAGCGGATACAGTTTTCCCCCAACTGGCCCCTCAAAAACACAGGTCCCATATCATTTGAACCATCCTTAAAATGATTTACAGAGCAGGCCCTGGTAAAGCAGCGGATAGTTTGTGTGTTACAACCTAAAGAAGTTGATTTGCAGTGGAAAGGAAGTGCAGGCGAGGAAAGCAGGCATACTGACCTTGAAAGCAGACTGGGAAGTAGACAGCATTCCAGTGAAAAGAAATGCAGAGGAAGAAAGAGAGAAATACAGTTGAGGTGAAAATACACACAGAGTGAGATGGGTTAACTTGGAAAGCTGGGCAAGACAAAAAGAGTTAACAGTGCATGAGCCTTTGCATGTGAAAGGAAAAATTAAATAAGAGAGATGATGGCAGAACCTGACAATGTGACATGCAATCTCACAGGCTACAAAAAAACAAACAAAGAGATGCATCTTTAGTAAGGCTGTAAATAGATTCAAAATTGATTATATGATTATGCAGATTAATTGTACCATTTATTTACAATTAACCTAACAAAATTTGCAGAGAAAATGAGAAAAGCCAAAATGTATAAAAGGGGCTTTAAAAATGAAATAGTAATAATAATAATAATGTAATTAAAAATTAGAGGAACATTAGCAATTCATCACAATATACAGTGTACAAAGCCAGTTTTATTTAAAAACTAGACTAGCTAGACTCCATTCATCATATACATTGTATGCGTGTGTGTGTGTGTGT